AAAGAGATTCAAAATCTGAAAAAGAAAAAATATATGTGCAGAGGATTCTAGTACTGAAATGTCATATAAATGCAAATCATCTATTACATCAGAGATAATTGATTTCAATACTATTTCCAGGATTCCTGGTACGCTAGTCTATACGAAAAGTTCCGTAATGAGAGAAAGTCTATTAAAGATGACCCGGAAGTAATCCTCAGGAAAAGAAAGCCCAAAGAGAGTTCCAAAGAGTGTGTGAAAGCTAAGCTTCGCAGAGGAGCCATAAACTGGGAGCCACCCTTTCCAGAGGGTGAGGATGAGGTGTCTCTACAACGACATAAAGATTTTATGAAGAGTGAATTTGAAAAAAGGTCTCCAGATTGGGCAAAGATAAGCAAACGAATGGCACTGACTTTCCCCAGCAGACGGAGACTAATGAATGACAATATGAGCATCAAGGAAATAAAAGAACACTACCCTACTCTATTTAAGTTTGAACAGGTATGTTAAGCTATATATTGTTGTCCTTGTGAACTATGAGTATGAGCAATCTAATTGTGTTTTCTCTGTGTCTTTCAACAAGAAAGTTGTGTAGAAGAAGGATGAGTTTAATAAAACTACCCCCACATTAGGGTGATTGGCAGTCTGGTTGTTCTGTCAGGTCAGCACAATTTGCTGCCTTGAGTAACTGGGCAATTCTGGGTGTGTTGGGTGATATGCAGACATCCTATGCTTGCAAGATGTGAATGTCCTCTCTTACTTCATATGTTAACAGAAATATAGGAATTATTATTGATGCTATTCAAACCTTTGTTCCTTAGATACTGGCTGAATTTGAAAGAATTTTGGGTCTAAATTCAAGTGTGGTGGATTCATTCAGGTCTAATTTTCAGCAAGTCACTGACCCGATTGTAAAACTAGGAAAGACAAAAAATAAGAGTAAATCAAAAGAAGAAATCCAAACGTTCCTGCACCTCCTGGAGGATGATGATAATGACATGAACGAAGATGAATCAGAACCAACAATTGGTAAGAAATATAAAAGAAAACAATATCTTATCATGCGAGCTCGTGCTTTTCCCGTGTATAGACCTAATCAGAATCAAATGCAAATTGCCCATTTCAGACAATGTGATGTTTACAATATCGTCTCTGGAGAATAGTTTCTTTGTTTTTCATCACATGGTCTGAAATGGGCAATTTGTATAGTCAAGTAGGTCTATTACAACCCATTTTCAAGTGCAGCAACAGCACATGCTCGAAAGGTCTGTCCTTTCAAACGTTTTAATATTTTTTTCAAATTTTTGGGTATCTGATGTCTTCATATCATATTATAAACAATTTACTACACTGCTAGTTTGTGTGTTACCCTGGACAATCTTACTCCTGAGCTGTATTTTTTCTTGCACCGGAAGGCTTAAAAAAATACCGTCGCTTTACTAAAATTTATTCAGTGTTAACACAGAGCAGTGCAGTAAACCTCTATATTACTTTGGATCACAAATATTAAAGGGCATCATACAATTAAGTAAAAAACAGTGCAAAGATTAAAACTAAGCCAGTTTTGATGAACCTGGTCCAGTGTAAATACCCTAATTGTAGTGAAATCAATCTAAATCTTTCAATTATTTCTAGAGGAACAAGCTGAAGTGGCCATGGCAGTACTGCCATACCTTCTTCTGCCAAAGTCTGGCCTTATTTCAACAGATGACTTTGTCCATTTCGTATTTGTAAGTATCATCAAATTATATTTATTTCTGAAAGAATAGTTAAAATTAATGGTTCTAGCATCTCTATTTGATTGACAAGATTACATTATTTTAGGATTTGGGTGCCACTCAATTCCAACAATTTCATTATTGAACATATCGGTACATACAGCTTGTTAAGGTGACTGGCTACTTTTGGAAATAATGTTAAACTTTTTTGAAACTACAATTTTCCGAAGTAAAATTTAATGCTTTATTTCAAATCTGAAAAGAAAAAATTGGTGTCCAGAACTCTTTTTGAGATAATCAGCATTTAATGGTAGCCCTACGTACGAGTTTTTGGCAAAAAAAATTGCACCACACAAAGTGACAAGAAAAAAAAGTCATAGTAGATAACATAACAGATTTTACAGCTAAATTATTATTCATATGATAGCTAGCAGTCTAATATAATTCGAACATTAATTATGACCTATCATATTGTCAGTCAAAAAGGAGGTGCCAGAAATCACATTGGTTATAGTGGTTCCCGAAATTCTGCGAACTCATTAGTTGCACATTTGGAAATAATTTGGTTTTTCATTGCAGCTAGTCAAAAATATAAAAGGCACCGACTGATTATCATTGATTGACAGAAGCAATAGATTCAAGAAATTCTCGTCAATAAATTTGACAAGCTGTATTTTTTTTAAAAAAACAAATATTGTTTTCAAACACAATAATTATTGACTCTGGAGTTTTACTTTTTTTGTAGGAAGATGAAGATATTGATGAGATCGTGAAGATTTCCAACAAGCCTTTTCCAAGAATTGTATTTAAAGGGCAGCTAAGTTCCCCCGACGCTATCTATATAATAGCAGATCAGCAAGTGCTATGCAGCTCAACAAACACCACTCTGTTGGAGGCCACAGTCTGTTTGATGGCATGTTACTATGTGTTCCTTTATGACTATCCAAGTGGCCTCAATAACTTCTATTTGTACTTGCAAAAGTGCATATTGCAACTTCAGGATGGGAAGAAGCTACCATCCACAGTAATTAATTTTGTAAATGACATTGATGCTATGTCAAAGATCTGAAAATGTGATTTTATAATTACTTCAATTGAATGATAACTTAATTATACTTCATGTGTGGTTGATATTCAACCAATTGCATATACCTGTACACAATATATTGATTTATTTCGTAAATTATTGGGCAAATGAAATCTAGGGAGTGAATTACAATAAATGGTCCAAAGCTATTTGAAAAAGTACTGTTCCCTTGTAGGGCATATTGTTCAGATGGATTAGGGGTATTAATGAAATGGTATACCTGCATCAAAGGAATTGCACTTATTTAAAGATGGCTCTAGACTATGTATGGTAATTTACTCTGTAGATTTCAATTGCTTGATAGTGATTTGTAAAATATATTAAAATATTGCTTACAGTGTATTTTGCCCTTGTTTGAATGCCTGCATCATGTGATCAATGTTTAGATTATCATTCAATCTTTTTTTTCAAAACCTATTACAGCTTATCCAAAATTAAAGATTATTTATGATTATTTGAGTGCTCACACTAAATTCGTGTGATTCAGTATTCCCTTAAATACATTTCATTGCATGCACTCTTTAAATTAAGGATTTCTTAAAAATTGTTACTATTTATTGCTAAATAATGTTAGACCATTTTACATTCATGGAAGAGTGCAAATTTAATATAGTATAATTTTACATTTTACATGCATATCTTCAGAATTTTAGCAAACAAAAAATTATTCGTTTTGCAAATTTAATATAGCTTCATGATTTCTAGTGACACATGCTTTTATTTATTTAGCTTGATATACCTCTTCTAATAACATTGATGATAACCAATCTGAACAGTTTTATGCCATGGAGGTAACTCATTGTGAGAGTAAGCTAACTCATTTTCTGTAGTAACTTAACTCATTTTTTTGAGTGAAGTGAAGTTTAACTCAAAATAAAGAGTCAATCTGGATGCATTTCGTATGAGTTTACTGAACACATTATCAGAGTTGTCTGTACTCATTTTTGAGAAAAACCCACTCATGTTTTGAGTAGAGTTAACTCATTATTTGAGTACTTCTAACTCTTTTTGAGTTGTCCTAACTTACTCCAATGAGTTAGTTTTACTCAATATAGATAGTTAATCCAACTCAATATAAAGAGTTATTCTGGATGCAAGTTGAACTCGTTATATTGAGTTGGAATCACTCAACTTTTTTAGCGGTGTATCTGACCATTACACTATAAAAGCAATTGATAAGAATAGTTAAAGTTTGTTCAGGAACCATAATGATCATAAAGACCGTCACTGAACAGTGCCCAGCTCTAATGGCTTTGTTTCAAAAATTTAACAGTAAGTGCAATGTCCCATGGACTTTCTCACTTCATAATTCAGTGTCTAAATACGGCAATTGAAGGTCACAATGGGGGAGTCCGCGTTTCTTGCATTGTAATTGGCCTTGTCTGTACTACTGGTTCTTTAGATGAGACAAAGAGAAGATGATATCATTTCAAACTTCTTGAGTGAAGATGCTGAATTTTTCCTTCAAAGCATTTCAAGAAAATAATTCTCTTCAATGTTGTTTGCATTCCCAAGCACGAATTGTAAACAAAACTTCCTATATTTGATTATGGGTGTAAAAGTATAATTTGGGGAGATTGTGGCCAGAGGAATTCTCAGCATTTAGAACACCTCCAAAATCAAGCCGTGCATAGTATTTTATCAGCCCATCTGAGCAAGACGGGAACGATCTTTCAAAAGAGGTAAGAGAACCCTGAGTCTTCTTTAGTTGGAAAAAATACGATCTTTAGATGTTTTTTACACGTATAAATGAAGGAGCACAATTCAACTTCCCATTGCATGGAGTATGTTTTAATTTTCATATATAAATTTGTTTTCCATACAGATATGATTGTTCTATTTATTCTTTTATTCAAATTTTTATTCATTCTTTTTCTATTTTTAGATTTACATATATTTGCGATGTATGTTTCACAACTACAGTGCTGATGACCAGTTTATACCAGCTGTTCCTTTCGCGTTAAGCTCATTGGTTTAACCAGGTTAAATAAAGATTATTATTCTTATTATTTTGGTCCCATGTATGTGACATTGTGCAAAATGTTTTGTGGCCTAAGCATCTGAATTGAAGACAAAAGTAAGAAGTAACTCCAAAGGTGATTTTCCTGTGCCTGAAACCCAAAATCTTTGCAGAAGCTGACAAAGACCAGTTTACATTGGGCAAAGAAACTGATGAGACAGAGGATCTAGTCCTGCAAATTTTCAACATGGCAGAAAGAATATCAGTACAGCCAGTTAAATTGCTAAAAACACTAAAAAAATGTTCAAACTGCCACTGCAAAGATTAGGGGACATTTGGAGAGATTTCTTGTCCTGGAAAAGACAGTTGCTAAAGCTCAAGTTGAGGTCAGAAAAATTGAGTTTTAAGGAGTTCATCACACTGTAAAGCCAGAAAGAAGGTTAGACCCGTTATTGCCATTTTTATGAAGTGCCAGGGCCACGAGTTCATCATCCAAAAAGCAAAGGAAATGAAAGAGGAAATTGACAGAGTATCTATGCGGAATTAACAGAGGAAAAAAGAGAGAGGAGGAAGAAGTAGTGGCTAAAGTTAAAGGCAAGAGAGGAAGGGAAGAGTGCTTTCTTTTAGTAAGCCTGAACCAGACAAGTTTTCCAGTGACGGTCAACACATTCCATGGTAAACTCGTAATTTGAGCTAGGCTACGCCTAGAGTAACTCTTACGCATCTTTCGTGCTCTCCAAACTTCCCGCGATGAACCCTCGCTGACGTCTGAACCACTTTCAGCCTTTATTTAGAAGGAAATGAACAACAACAAAGAAACAACAGTCATGATAAATAAACCATTGCTTTCTTAGGCCTCCAGCATATCAAAAAATACTTCATTCTTAGAAAGGCAAATTAAGATAAAAACGTGGTGTTGTTAACTTTTAATAGTAAGTTTAATAGTAAAATTTGTGACATAAAAGTTACAAACCTTTATTTTGACATCCACAAAAAATGAAATGAGAAGGGACATGTAAAAAGCTATTTCAACCACATAAAAGAAAAACATTGCCTCTGTAAGAGGCTGGAAAAACAGAGAGAAACCAGGAGTCAGCTGGAGACAACATGGATGAATCTACATGGTTAATACCTTATGAACAATTTTCAGTTTGGCTCTGACATTCTCAAACTTATGATTGAATCCCAATGCTTTGAATATTGGTGCCCAGCTCAATTTTGTTGCAAGAAATGGATGCAAGAATGAAGGGCACCAAAGTGAACAGGGTGTCCAACAGGAAGATGTTAAGACTACACTGTGTCCTTAGTCAATGATTGTCTCTATAAATAAGACGTAATAGAACTTTTAGTACTTGCTTGAAGAGATATTGAATTTTGAACAAATTTTAATTTGACCATTATTATACAATATTTTTGTCACCGTTTGGCCATCAGTTTAACTGACTTCTAAATAAAAGTCAAAGAATTGCTTGAGAATGGAGATAACTCTTGTGTCAGAAAAGGCATGAACTCTTTAGTTCTCCTTTGATCCCTTATGTGGTCACATGTATATTGTGATCCAATGTAAGGATATGAAAAGAGGGTAATTTAAAGTAGCTACATCACTGCAACGAAGCAAGCTTAAACGCAAGATCAGAACGACAAACTGAAAGAGCCCTTATCCCAATATCAAGAGCAGAAATGAAGTTTGACCATACCAGTAAGCTGTATAGTGAAATGAGCGTGGATTTTGACAATATTGTACCTGTGGGACTGATATCAACCATAGCAAACACCCATATTCCAGCTAGGGAACCTTTGCAAATCAGAACTTACCATGAACAAACTTTGAAGGTCAGATCTTATTTTCAACACTTTTTCCTCAGTGCTCACTTTCTTTATGTTTGCTTTACAGACTTCACATCAGAGGGGTCCAGTTTTACACCAACCAAAAGGTCTCTGGATTTATCAACCACGTGAATTTCTTTTTGTTAGCATGATAATAATGACTTAAAACTTACATCCTCAGCCATTTATAAGCATATCCACATCAACACCAACTCCTCATTTCCTAACTAAAACCATTACAAAATTAACTATGATGAGGTTTAGGAAACTATCAGAGAAGAAAACTAGCAGTAATCAGAAAACAAGATCTAGCTGAGTTTATCTCAACAAATGACCGCAAAATTTATCATTGGACATATTTATACATTATAGGATTTTATATGAAATAATTTTTTTTACATGTTTATTCAATTTATTCTAATTATTATTTTACCTCTGTATTAGTTCTTAGACAGGTGTCCATACTTAGTAGTACCTGCAACGTTTATTAAAACAGAGATGAAGTTACTATTATGACATTTATTATTATTGAAATTAAGGGTTTCAAACGTTTTTTTGTATGGACAATTATGTTGCCTCTATATGATAGGTCACCTGGTGCCTCCCCCAAACCGTCTTAGGAGAGGAATCCTTGCTGAATCAACCATCCTATCTTCCCTCAATCAACCCAGAACAAATACTGAACAGTTCTGTCAAAGAGAGAACCACGTATACAAGGAAAACCATGGTAAACTTAAGAGGCTCTGCTAACAGTGTGAAAGTGCTTGGTAAAGAAACCACCTTTTGGTAGTGTTTGATGCAACTGGGAGGGAACTACTGCAAGAGAGAGAGACAGATGTCAGGTTTGTCACGGGAAAACAGCCCTTAACCATTCTCCCTCCGTTGGTAGTATCGCCACTGCAAAATTTTAAAATGCTACAAGTCGACAATTGTTGGTTGAATTCTTCCTGCACTTAAACATCAAAATAAGGAACCATTGACAACATTTGAGAAAGGGAAAACGAAATGGACAGACTCTTTGGAAAAACTTTGTTAACAACTTTGAGTCAATGCGACTAAACAGACTGTTGGTCAAGAACATGAAGAGGTCATATCCTCAATATCATTAATTCATAGTGGACAAGTCCACAGAGGAATTGTTCCCAAACCACCAAGAGGGCAATCTGCACAAAAGTCGTGCTTGACTTTCAGAAAGGAATATGGTTTGTGGCAAGGAAAGTTCTGCCAAGAGTTCATACTACTGGATGTGGCTCTCAAGAACCGAGCGGTAATAGTGAACAATGATTCCCATTTTTGGCTGTTGGTAACCTGTCGGTCAACTGTTGGCCAACAAGCTAATCACGCGAAAGTGCTAAATAGACCAAAAATTGACCGAAAACAGAGTAAAAACTTTTCCAGTTGAAAACAGTAGATAGAAACCTGTCAATTGCACCATTTACACCTAGCTACTTGATTCTGTTTAAACAGTAAAAAAGGCTTGTTTAACCCATCTCCTGACTGTACGTACCACAATGTAGGCACGTTTATGATGGCCCTGAAGGCTCACAGTCCAGTTTTATTTTTCTCAGTCCAGTTTTATTTTTCACAGTCCAGTTTTATTTTTTTCACAGTCCAGTTTACTTTTTCCACAGTCCAGTTTTAATTTTTAATTTAGTTACCAGATCTCTT